GACCCCAGCTGGGTCAATCACGAGCCCTCTGAGGATCCTGATGTGCTGGACTGCTCTCGGGAGTGGTGAGTGGCACTGCTTCCTGCCCTTCCCTGGCGTGACAGTGATGCTATTCTTCCCATCTGCGATCCCCCAGCCTCTTGGTCCCTTTTGGCCATCCATGGTTTCTGTTGTTTGCAACCACAGAACCCTGCTTGAGGTAGAATCTACATTACCGCTGGGGTGCGGTGGCTCACGTCTGTAATCCCAGCACTTTGGGAGGCCAAGGTGGGTGAATCACCTGATGTCTGGAGTTTGAGACCAGCCTGGCCAACATGGTGAAACCCCATCTCTCCTAAAAGTACAAAAATTAGCCAGGCGTAGTGGTGAGTGCCTGTAATCCCAGCTACTTGGGAGGTTGAGGCAGGAGAATCTCTTGAACCCAGGGGTCGGAGGTTGCAGTGAGCCAAGATCACACCATTGCACTCCAACCTGGGCAAGAGAAGCAAAACTCTGTCTCAAAAAAAAAAAAAAAAAAAGAATCTACATTACCTTCCTCCCCACCCGGATCCGTATCTTTCCTAAGGGACTGTGCCCTCCCTGACCCCACGGTTAGCCCACGACTCTGATGTATGGAGGCAAAAAAGAGAATCACTGGAGGTCTGTAGTGATAGACCACAGGGCTCTGTTTTTTGTTTGTTTTTGAGATGCAATTTCGTTCTCATCGTCCAGGCCGGAGTGCAATGGCGCCATCTCAGCTCACTGCAACCTCTGCCTCCCAGGTTCAAGCAATTCTCCTGCTTCAGCCTGCCGAGTAGCTGGGATTACAGGCACATGCCACCTTGCCCGGCTAAGTTTTGTATTTTTGGTAGAGACAGGGTTTCACCATGTTGGCCAGACTGGTCTCGAACTCCTGACCTCAGGTGATCCACCCGCCTCGGCCTCCCAAAGTGTTGGGATTACAGGCATGAGCCACCACGCCCGGCCATGGCTCCGTTCTTACCTCTGTCATGTTGATCATTTCCCCAGTTTGGATCAGAACACAGGCCTGCTCATAAAGTTTGCAGCTGCCACAGCGGCAGAATTAATGCTTTGTGCAATAGAAGTGGGACTTTTAAAATGCTTTCAAGACTAGACGGCTGGATGGGGGCCAAGAAGATGACCTTTCACCAGCATAATGTAAGGTCTTGCGTGCGTTTCCGAAGAACCCATTGTGTGAGTACCAGACGGGGGAGGGAGGGCTGGCTGGACAGCAGTTCATGGGAAAAAGCTCTTGTGCATTTGCAGTGAATAACATAGCTCTTGGAAACATAAATGCCTCTAGTAATGCAGACTGCATCGCTAGAGATGGAGCATCTAGGAAACTGGAGATGACAGTACCTTTCAGCTTGGTGGCTGTCAGTCCAAACGGCTAGCATGCTTCTAGTTCTGGTCCCCACACTTTTTAAGAGGGCTAATGACAAATTACAGTGTATTCCAATAAGGATAACCTGGGGTTCTGGGGAAGTCACAGCAACATGATGGCATTGACTACAGCTCAGGGAACCGTTGGGGGGCCGGGAACACTATGTGCAAATTGCTGCAGGGGAGGCCCAGGAAAGAGGCCCCAGAGACACAGCAGTAGGGAGGGGCTTTCGGAAATTAGAGATGTTTTAGTCAAGGCCTTTTGAGTGGCAAGTAACCAAAATCTACTGGAGCTCACTCAGCAAAAGGAGGAATTTAAGGGAAGAGGTTTTTTGTTTTTTGGTTTTTTTTTGAGAGAGAGTTTCACTCTTGTTGCCCAGGCTGGAGTGCAATGGCACAATCTCGGCTCACCACAACCTCCACCTCCCGGGTTCAAGTGATTCTCCTGCCTCAGCCTTCTGAGTAGCTGGGATTACAGGCACTTGCCACCACGCCCAGCTAAATTTTGTATTTTTAGTAGAGATGGGGTTTCACCATGTTGGCCAGGCTGGTCTCGAACTCCTGACCTCATGATCTGCCTGCCTCGGCCTCCCAAAGTGCTGGGATTACAGCGGTGAGCCACCGCATCCAGCCAGGAACAGGTGTGTTTTAAAACCTGGAGGGCAGGCATGGCACAGTGGCTCATGCCTGTAATCCCAGCACTTTGGGAGGCCGAGGTGGGTGGATCACGAGGTCAGGAGTTCAAGACCAGCCTGGCCAACATAGTGAAACCCCGTCTCTACTAAAAATACAAAAGTTAGCTGGGCATGGTGGCTGGTGCCTATAATCCCAGCTACTCGGGAGGCTGAGAAGAGGCAGGAGAATTGCTTAAACCCAGGAACGAGGCAGAGGGTGCAGTGAGCCGAGATCGCACCACTGCACTCCAGCCACTCCGGGAGACAGAGACTCCATCTTAGAAAAAACAAAGCAAAACAACAACAACAAAAAAACTAGAGGGCAGGAAGAGCAGCTCAGGTATTGAGCTGGGAGCTGGAACCTTGAAGAAACCAGGGCAGTTAGGCTCTCCAACTCTCTCTCCTACTTCCTCTTTTGCCACAAAACAACATTCTCTGCTTCTTGGGGCACTGGTCAGGAAACGCTGGCTCCCCACTAAACTGTTCGGGACTGGGGGCAGGACTACGGGTAGGGGATGAGAAGTGGGGCAGGGCAAGGAAGCCAGGAAGAGTAAGGAGAGGCAGGCAGGGGCCAGATAAGCGGGGCCGATTCTTTAAGAACAATTCAACGGACACCTGAGGCCCCTGCCCAACTTAGAGCTGGAATGTGGCTCCTCAAGGCCCCAAGGGTCCTGCCTTTTCTAGTCCCTCCCTTCCTCTCCCGAGAGTTGACCATTCTGGAGATTTGGGGGTTTTGCTTGCTTTTCTTATCCAAAGAAATAGAGGGTTCTTTTTTGCCTGCCTTGTTTTAATTTTTTTTTTTTTTTTTTTTTTTTTAGCTGAGCAGATGTTTGTGAGGTTTGTTGTTGCTGTTGTTGCTTTGTTTTTAGTAGAGATGGGGTTTCACCATATTGCCCAGGCTGGTCTTGAACTCCTGGCCTCAAATGATCTGCCTGCCTTGGTCTCCCAAAGAGCTAGGATTACCGGCATGAAGCACCATGCCTGGCCCTGTGGGGTGTTTTAAGGTTGACATGAGTAGCTGAGGAGAGGCAAGGCTGGTCCAGGACCTCCAGTACCCTTCAGGGGATGGAGCAACAGTGAGAAAACCCAGCGCGGCATCCATCCTGGACATCTTGGTAGAGCCCACTCCCTCGACAGCCTGGCCAGATAGAGGAGAGAAGGCGGCAGGCTCCCCGAGGAGAAGGAAGAGATAGCCAGTGGTGGAAAAATTGGCGGAAACTTCTCCACCACTTCATCCACGGAGATGATGCTCCGGACCCTGGCATTCGTGTTGGTGGTTCCACCTGCAGACGCCTGAGCCAAGCCCACGGGTTTTGACCCCAGCTCCACCCCTTTGGCCAAGCAGACATTGGGCCTGGTGGACAAGGTCTAACCTGAGGGTTCTGGGAGTGAAGGGCTGGGCTGGGGAAGGTGGTTCTGGGTCCTCTGGGTAGAGCAGGAGTAACCAAGTGGCTGGACAATGTGCCCAGGGCCGGGGCATGGGTTGGGGGTGCCTGAGCAGGAGGGCCAGAGGGCCAGGGAATAGTAGCTCTGGGGAGCTGTGTCTGGGAGCCCATGTCTGGGTGTTGGGGAACAGCCTTGTAGGCCCAGCTCAGAAGGGTTCCACAGTGACCTAGGTCCTCTGGGATCTGGGATGGAGTGGGACTGCCTCAAAGCTGTCATTGTTGCTCCCTCGCCCGCCTGACTGTCTGGGGCTTAAAATAGCAGGAGCACAGCGGATCTCCTGAGAGAAGTTTCTGGCAAAGAGATTTGGGGGGAGGGGTGTGAGTCACAGCTGGGAACCCTTGAGTTTGAAGCTCCCAAAGCCCAGCTGCTCCACCCCTGCCCCCAGGGAGCCTGGAATCCATGGGCAGGGCAGGTGGGGGGTCCTCTGTTCTCTCCCTGTCCTGCTGTGGGAGTGGGGAGACTGGGTCCTGCCCCAGCTCTGCCGTGGAGGTACTGGCTAGATGACTGGGCCAAGTCCTGCCCCCTTCGGACCTCAGTTTCCCAGATGTACCAGGAGATGTGGACCTTGACATCTGCTGCGAGGTCCCTGGAGTTCACGGCATGTGGTCCCAGTACAGACCCCCAGAGTCAGACAGCCATGGACTGAAATCCCAGTTCCACTCCCACTGGCTGAGTGTCTCTGAGCAAGTCCTCCCAGCTCTCCAGGTGAGTTTCCTCACCTGTAAAATTCACAATGAAACCAAGTCCTGCTCATTCCAAGCTTCAGATTGCGCTATCCGGTAAGGATCCTCGCAGCTCCCGGGCACTGGTCCCCCGCCCCCCTCCCTGCACCCCAGCCTCCACCCCATCCTCAGATGGCACATTTTGTGCTGCCAGGAATGTTAGCAGCGAAGTGACCCCACTTTTAATGCCATGTACTTTACACACGCTACCTCTGGCTCCCACGCCCTGGAGGACAGAGCTGGCTACTGTCCCCAGCGCTCTCCTGGGACATCCTCAACCTCAGTACTGGCCACTCCTGGACAGAAGGGGTAGTGGCTCCTGAGCGGGCCCTCTTGGGCATCTACCATGTGCCAGGCCCTGTGCTTGGCTCACCCCTGGAGTCCTGTGGGGCAGGACTGATGCTCACTGTTATGAGATGGGGAGACAGGCTCGTTGCTCCCCTGTCTCAAAGGGGTGCAGGGACCCTTTGCAGTCCACAGTCCGCAGGACGCGGGGTCTGGACCACGCGGTGCGTGTGGCCGGGGCGCCCTCTAGCGGCCCCTCTGCATGCCGTGTTGCCCCCCGCAAGAGCTGCCCTAGGGTGGAAGCGCAGCGGCTGGCGCGGGAAGTCCCTTCTCCGAGCCCACCGGTGTCCCGCCTGCTGCGTCTCCACCTCCTCCGAGCTGCGAGCGGTCTGGCCCTGCCTGTCAGTCCTCGTGGCTTTGCAGGGACCCCACCGTGGCTGTACGCCCCGCCCCGATTACCATGGAGACGGCTTGTACACAGTTTCCCCTTTCCTCCGCCCAGTCCTGGGGTCCCACGGCCGCCTAGGTGGGAGCCCGCCAGGTCGGGGCGGGGCCGGGCGCCCATGAACAGCGGGGTCCCGGCCACCCTGGCCGTGCGGAGAGTGAAATTCTTCGGCCGTCACGGCGGGGAGGTAAGGCCCAGCGGGCTCTGCCCAGACTCCCGGCTTTGCGTGCAGAGTGGTTCCTGGTTCTGTGTAGTGGGGGTTCCAGAATGTTCTCTGGGCATTAGCTTAGGATATGGAGTCTAGAGTAGACTTTGCTAACCCAAGAAGGCTCAAAGTAGGCTCTCGGCTCTAGTGCTGGGCCCCAGCTCCAGAGCAGCTCTAGGTTCTAAGCTCTGCCTCTAAAAAGAGCCCCGGGCTCTGGGCTCTGCCTGGAGAGGGGCACAAAGCTCCCTGCTGACTCTGGTGCTTTCTGGGGCCCTGGCTCTAAAGTGAACTCAGGGCTTAGAGTAGATTCTGGGCTCTCCGTTGTCAGCTGCAGCTTTGGAATGAGATCTTGGCTCTGGGGTTCCAGGCTAAGGTTCCAGAGAAGGCTCCTGCCTCTAGCGGCAGGCTCTGGTTTTACTGGGCTCCAGGGAGCCCAGTGGGTCCCGGGTTCTGGGCTCTGGTGGTGGAGTGAGGCTTGAAGTCCAGCTCCAACCCCAGGCTCTTGGGGGCAGTGTTTAGGGGTCAGAGATGAGTGGACAGGGGTTTCTTCCCCAGAATGGGACCGCTTTTGCGCTCTGTTTCTAGGTCAATTCCTCTGCCTTCTCCCCTGATGGCCAGATGCTGCTCACAGGCTCAGAGGATGGCTGCGTGTATGGCTGGGAGACCCGGAGTGGGCAGCTGCTGTGGAGGCTGGGTGGCCACACAGGTGGGACTCCCACACCTGGCTCGGAAGACCTGAGGCACAAGGCTCTGGCATTCTGCAGAGCTGACCGCAGCGACCTCCGAAGAGCTGGGCACGGGTGCAGGGCAGGGCTAGGCAGGACAGGAGATGGGATGTGATACCTGGGCACTGGGGCTTAGACTCTAACAGGCCTGGACTCAGATCCTTCTTTAAAAACACACACACACACAAACTGTGATGTAACACACGTAATACTTACCGTTGTATATTTTTTTGTGTGTGACGGAATCTCGCTCTGTTACCCAGGCTGGACAACCTTGGCTCACTGTAACCCCTGCCTCCTGGGTTCAAGTAATTCTCTGCCTCAGCCTCCCAAGTAGGTGGGATTACAGGCACCTGCCACCACACCCGGCTAATTTTTTTTTGTATTTTTAGTAGAGATGGTGTTTCACCATCTTGGCCAGGCTGGTCTTGAACTTCTGACCTTGTGATCCATCCCCCCCCCCACCCCACCAGTCCCCCGAAGTGTTGGGATTTTTTTTTTTTTTTTTTTTTTTGAGACGGAGTCTTGCTCTGTCACCCAGGCTGGGGTGCAGTGGCCTGATCTCAGCTCACTGCAAACTCTGCCTCCCGGGTTTACGCCATTCTCCTGCCTCAGCCTCCCAAGTAGCTGGGACTACAGGCACCCGCCACCTCGCCCGGCTAGTTTTTTGTATTTTTTAGTAGAGACGGGGTTTCACCGTGTTAGCCAGGATGGTCTCGATCTCCTGACCTCGTGATCCGCCCGTCTTGGCCTCCCAAAGTGCTGGGATTACAGGCTTGAGCCACCGCGCCCGGCCTTGTGTTGGGATTAAAGGCGTGAATCACTGTGCCCACCTTGTTGTGTACATTTTTAAGTGTACAGTTCAGAGAATCCAGTACCTTCACATTGTCATGACACCAATCTCCAGAACTCTTTTCCTCTTGCAAAACTGAACCTCTGTCCCCACTAAACAAGTCCCCAATCTCCCTCCTCCTAGCCCCTGACAACCACAGTTTTTCTTTTTTTTTTTTTTTTTTTTTTTTGAGGCGGAGTCTCGCTCTGTCGCCCAGGCTGGAGTGCAGTGGCGCGATCTCGGCTCACTGCAAGCTCCGCCTCCTGGGTTTACGCCATTCTCCTGCCTCAGCCTCCCGAGTAGCTGGGACTACAGGCGCCGCCACCACGCCCGGCTAATTTTTTTGTATTTTTAGTGGAGACGGGGTTTCATTGTGTTAGCCAGGATGGTCTCGATCTCCTGACCTCGTGATCCGCCCGCCTCGGCCTCCCAAAGTGCTGGGATTACAGGCTTGAGCCACCGCGCCCGGCCCAGTTTTTCTTTTTGTCTCGATGAATCTGACGTCTCTGGGTGCCTCTAAGTGGAGTCATACAGTATTTGTCTTTTTGTGACTGGCTTATTTCACTTAGCATGATGTACTTAAGTTTCAGCCATGTCGTACCTACCACTGTTTTGACTTTGATCTTGGTCAAGTCCTGTCACCTCGCTGAGCCATTTCCACTGCAAGCAAAGTATCTAGCACCCAGTGAGGACTCAACAGATGTAACTATTTTAATTATTATTCAGGAGACAAGAAAAAAAAAAATCAGGCAATTATAGGCAGTCTGATTAATGCTGCAAGGAGGGGAAATCAGGGGCTGGGAGCTCAAAGGAGGCAATTCACCTAGGCAGCAGTTGTTAGGGCAAGTTTCTGGGAGGTCCTTACTTTTACTTGGGTATTGATGATTTTTCAGATGAGCACACTGAGGTTGGGTGTTCCAAGGCTGACAGCCCAGCCCAGGCCAAGCCATGGAAATCCAGGCATTTCTGGGAGGCTGGAGTTTGGGTGAGGGGCGGCTGGCAACGAGGCTGGGAAAATTAGCAAGGATTGGACTGTGTGGGCAGAAGGTGGCGGGCAGTGCTCTGTCACCTGACTGTGGCCACCCACCCAGGCCCCGTGAAGTTCTGCCGCTTCTCCCCTGATGGCCACCTCTTCGCCAGCGCCTCCTGTGACTGCACTGTCCGCCTGTGGGACGTGGCAAGAGCCAAGTGTCTGCAGGTCCTGAAGGGTGAGTGAGCTGGGAGCCAAGCAGCCAGGCCTGCGTTCCCTTTCAGACGGTGCTATGTCCTGTGTCATGTCACCTTTCCTCCTTCCCCGACCCCGGGCTGGTGCCTGCAGGTCACCAACGGAGTGTGGAGACGGTCAGCTTCAGCCCTGACTCGAGGCAGCTGGCATCAGGTGGCTGGGACAAGCGGGTGATGCTTTGGGAAGTGCAGGTATGTCAAGGGCTTGGGGCCACCAGCCTGGGACTCAAGGACCAGTTCCAGAGAGGATGTCACCAGTGTTGCCCTCCCGGCTCAAACCCTCCACTGGTTCCCCAGGGCCCATGCCCACAGCGGGCAACCAAGGCTGCCCCGACCTGGCCACAGCCGCCTCTCCAGGCCTCCCTGCACACAGCAGCCCTCAGGCTTTTTGCACAAGGTCCCCTTGCCTGGACTGTCAAGGCCCAGGTAGCCAGCTGCCCTCTGCTGCCTCCTGAAGCTCAGGGCTCTCTCTAGTCTGGCCAGATGCTGCGCCTCTTAGTTGGGCACCGAGACTCCGTCCAGAGCAGCGACTTCTCACCCACGGTGAACTGCCTGGTGAGCCTAACCTCTGCCCTGGGCCCCACCTTGGTGGCCCCATACCCACTTGGAGCGGAGCGGTGGGAAGGGGATGGACTCCGGGACCCACCTAAATGCGGAGTGGGTGGGGAGCTGGCGGGGCCAGACTCACAGAAGCTGCCTGCAGGCCACCGGCTCCTGGGACGCCACCATACGCATCTGGGACCTGCGGACGGGGACCCCAGCCGTCTCCCACCAGGCGCTAGAGGGACACAGTGGCAACATCAGCTGCCTGTGCTACTCAGCATCTGGCCTCCTGGTAAGTGGGTGTCCTGGGTTCCAGGGTGGTCCCCTGCTGGCAGCCAGGCCCTTAAGGCTCCCAGGCCCCAAACCCCAGGGATCAGAGCTGTCTGCTGTCCAGGCCTCCGGTTCCTGGGATAAGACCATCCACATCTGGAAGCCTACAACCAGCAGCCTGCTTATTCAACTGAAGGGCCACGTCACCTGGGTGAAGAGCATAGCCTTCTCTCCCGACGAGCTGTGGCTGGCCAGCGCCGGCTATTCCCGCATGGTAACCACCCCAGGCCTGTCCCGCTCCTACCCACCCACCCTCCCTCCACCAGGAGCCCTCAGCACTCACTCCAGAAGGCCCACATCCCCACTTGCCCTAGCTAGGAGGGGGCAAGGGCAGGACCCAGGTGCCAGCCTCTCCACCTAATGGCCAGCACAAGGTCAGGGCTGGCCCATTGGCAACTGCATTGACATTTCCATGACCCAAATGGCATCAGGCAGAAGGGAACTCCTGCTCTGAAATTTCAAATACAGCCCACAAACAAAACCCACACCAAGCGGCTCAGATGTTCTTTGGCCCAGGGGCGGTGGCTCACACCTGTAATCCCAGCACTTTGGGAGGTAGAGGTAGGTGGATCACCTGAGGTCACGAGTTCAGGCAAAGACTCCATCTCAAAAAAATGTTGTCTGGGACTTTCCTGGAGGTGGCTTCAGATGCCACAGTGGCCTGTCGAGGATTCCTGCCATGCCCCCTCCTTTTCCAGGTCAAAGTCTGGGACTGCAACACAGGAAAGTGCCTTGAGACCCTGAAGGTAAGGCAGGGTGCTGTGGCACTGAGGGAGCCATGGACAGCTTCTCCCAAGGCAGGACTTGCCTCGAGCCCCACCCTCTACTCTTGGCAGGGATTCCTGGATGTGGCCCACACCTGTGCCTTCACCCCAGATGGGAAAATCTTAGTGTCTGGAGCTGCCGATCAGACCAGACGTCGAATATCCCGCACGACCAAATCACCCAGCGACCCTCAAACCTAACACCACCTGGGAGGGCGCCAACCTCACCCGCTCCCCTCAGTGGCACGCCACTTCCCACCACAGGCCCAAAGTGACTGTGCCGGCATCCAACAGATCCCCATGGCCAGGACTCTCCCTGCCCAACCACAGCAGACAACAGCAGCGGGCGGGATGCTTGCTGGAACCCATCAGACACGTGGTCCCCAGAACCAGACCCACCCGCCTCAACCCAATCAGTGGAAGTGCCAGGAAACAAAGCAGTCTCAGCCAGCTGTGCTTTATTGACAACGCGCCACTCAGGCCTTGACCGCGTACTTCCGCAGCGGGTACAGCCGCTCCTTCCGCTGCTGCTTCTTGGTCTTCAAGTTCTCCTCGTGCTTGTTGAGCCGGCGGCGCATGGCGCGTGTCTTCTTAGGCCGCAGGTCCAGGGGCTTGTACTTCTTGCCCTGGGAGACAGATGGCAGGGTGAATCCAAGAACCCGGGTCTGATAGCAGCAAACGGGGCTCGGGAGGGCCATCCAGAGCCACTCAGGAGGACACTGCTGCCAAAGGACTGGCAGCAGGCCACATACTTCACTAGCTCAATTTAATCCCCCCAAATTTAAGCCTGGTGGGGCCATCCTCATTTCGTGTAAGTCTGCCGACCTGGGCTGAGTGCCCAAGTCTTGGCAAAGCTGTGGAAGAGCTGGGGCTTGCACCTCAGGCAAGTTGACTCTCAACTCAGTGCTCCTTCCACTGCCCGATTCCCAGTCAGGAGGACAGTCAGTCACATGACAATCTAGTACAGGGTGCGCAGCACCTCCCAAGCCCCGGGTGTGGTTACTGCTACCTCGGCTCTGGTTAGTGAGTATGCTGGGGGCTGAGGCAGTATTCCATCCATCTGTAGGCAGGGCCCAACAGGTGCTGCCCACATGAATGTCCAGCCTCAGAGGCCTGGCTGGCCAAGGCCACTCGCCCCACCCTCTTCCTGCTTTGGGGCCCCTGCCCACAGCTGTCACAGAGCCATCATCCGTCTCTCCGTCCTTGGCTCCCACTCCTGCCCCACTTGCTCTCCAGCAGGGGGTTCTAGACCATGATGGCTCTCACTGGTCCCTCCTGTGTTCTGCAAAGGTCCCCTGCGCCCCCTTCAGGACTGGGCCCTGTGCTGCGAGCTGGCTTGGCAAAGAATGTGACCCAGTCCCGGCTCAGGGGTCCCAGCCTAGTGAGGAAGACGGAACAGGTAACGAATGGCCCATGGTGTGGGGGAGGAGAGGTGAAGGAAGGCGTCTCTTACAGATGGGCAGTACCCTCAAAGGCAAGCACGGCGGGGGCCAGGGGAAAGGGCGTGCAGGCTCTCCCTGACCGGAACAAGTCAGGTGCGGGACACACCCTAGCTAAGCTGGATGCTGAGGTCACAGGGCCCCAGGCCCCTGCAGGTGGCCAGAGGACTGCAGAAAGATCCCTGGACAATGAGGGCCAGCCCTGGAGGGTACGTGGAGGCAGGAAAGTCTTTGTCCTCCCACATCCCTCATTCCTGCTGGCACTGGCTAGGCATTCGTCCTTTTCACATTGGCTAACCCCCTAGAGTTCTGCTGTCCCCCAAACAACCACTAGCCACACGGAGCTGTTGACATTAAAGATTTTTGCCACACACATGCTAGTGTCCCCTGAACAGCTAACATAGCTACACTATGGCTCTTTTTATTTTTTTGAGATGAGGCCTCACTATGTTGCCCAGACTGCACTTTAACTCCTGGGCTCAAGCCATCTCCTGCCTCGGCTTCCCAGTAGCTGCGGTTATGGGCCTGTGGCACTTCATCAGCCATGGCTGCTGTTTCCATGTCAAACCTTCAAGTTATTCAAACACTAACTTGGGTAGTGATGTGGAACCATTTTGCACATGAAAGACCCTCGGGCATGGTGGCTCACACCTGTAATCCCAGCACTTTGGGAGGCTGAGACGGGCGGATCACAACGTCAGGAGATGGAGACCATCCTGGCTAACAAGGTGAAACCCCATCTCTACTAAAAATACAAAAATTAGCCGGGCATGGTGGCGGGCGCCTGTAGTCCCAGCTACTCGGGAGGCTGAGGCAGGAGAATGGCATGAACCCAGGGGGCAGAGCTTGCAGTGAGCCGAGATTGTACCACTGCACTCCAGCCTGGGCAACAGAGTGAGACTGACTCTCAAAAAAAAAAAAAAAAAAATTAAAGACCCTCATCAGGTAACTTTGGGGGAGATTATCCTGGGTAATCCCAGAAGGCCCGATCCAATCAGCTGAAAGCCTTAAGTGCAGGGCTGAGGCTCCCTCCAAGTCCCCTCTGGGAACAGCAGCTTCAACCTGGGCCCTGAGTCCCAGCCAGCCCCCACAATCACCTAAACCCATTCTTTTTTTTTTTTTTTTTTTTTTGAACGAGTCTCGCCTTCGCCCAGACTGAGTGCATGGCGCGATCTCGGCTCACCACTCCGCCCCCTTCACGCCATTCTCCTGCCTCAGCCTCCGGATAGCTGGACTACAGGCGCCCGCCACACGCCCCTAATCTTTGTATTTTTATAGAACGGTTCACCGTTAGCCAGGATGTCTCGATCTCCTGACCTCGTGATCCGCCCGCCTCGCCTCCAAATGCTGGATTACGGCTGAGCCACCGCCCCCCGCTGAGCCACCGCGCCCGGCCTAAACCCATTCTTCAGAATACGTTGGATGTGTGTGTACACACCGTCTCCCACTAGTTTTGTTACTCTGCTTGAACCCTAGTAAGACGAATGTTAAGGACAAGACCAGAAAATGGTCATTAAAATTCAAGACTAGGCCGGGAGCGGTGGCTCAAGCCTGTAATCCCAGCACTTTGGGAAGCCGAGACGGGCGGATCACGAGGTCAGGAGATCGAGACCTTCCTGGCTAACACAGTGAAACCCCGTCTCTAATAAAAAAATACAAAAAACTAGCCGGGCGAGGTGGCGGGCCCCTGTAGTCCCAGCTACTCGGGAGGCTGAGGCAGGAGAATGGCATAAACCCGGGAGGCGGAGCTTGCAGTGAGCTGAGATCCGGCCACTGCACTCCAGCCTGGGTGACAGAGCGAGACTCCGTCTCAAAAAAAAAAAAAAAAAAAAAGTCAAGACTAAGAGGGGGGCCAGACACCTGTGCACACCTCCCAGGAACACTCAAGCCGACCCTCCCCAAAGCAAGGTTTGGAACCGGGGCCCATCATGCCATTGGTTGTGGGTGTCTAGGCCTCAGGGTCCTCATCTGAAAAACGAGCATGGCAGGTGCCTGGCAGGCACTGACTGACACCCAGTACTAGTAAGAGGCAGTGAAAACCTTCAACAGCCAGTCCCATCACTGCCCAAGCCACTCAACTGGGAAGGCTGGATTCAAAACCAGAGTCTCCAGCCAGGATACCCCAAGCCCCATGAATTATTGACACGTGCAGCCTGAGAAGTGGTCTGCAGAGCCACATGCCAGTGCAAGACACTGGTAGAAGGGAGAGCCCAGCAACAAATCGGGAAGGCTAACCACTCTCAGCCCCAGGCACCAAGGAAGACCTCCTTACCATGCCCCCTGGCCAGGGACGGCTAGCACTTAGCTTCCTGAAGCCAACCTTCCCTATGCCCCAGCAGACTCACCTTGTAGAATTTCCTGAGGTTTTCTTTCTGAGTCTGGTTAATGACTGTGAGAACACGGGCGATGGATTTGCGGACGACTCGTCTACAAAACAGATGTCAGTGAAGATGGGGAAGAAACACAGCACTTCCCAAGGCTCAGGACCCCATACATAGGGCAGGGATAGCTGCAGCCTCCCCTATCAGCCCATCCGTATTCACTCAGGAGGAAAGTGTTCTGGGAGTGAGGTCTGAGGGGAGAAGAGAGGGACATGGGATGGGCGTTCCAGGAATGGGGCAGGGAGTCCAGTGCTGTTGAGCTGTAAAGTGTCAGCTGAGACAGCAGAGGCTTTGAGGAAGTGCAGGCTGGATAAATGAGGCAGATCAGGAGAAGACCTTCAATCCCAGAACACGAATTTATCCTGAGGGCTAAGACCCGACCAATGCCAGTTTCAATGAGCTGATGGGAGGGAATCATGCCACAAAGCAGGCAATCAGGCTAGTTTAGGGAATCGCAGGAGAAATGAGACATTGGCAAACTGGAGTCACTACAAGCCAGGAGACTGAAGCAAGCAACAAGCTGGGCAGAAGTTATTTGTAGTCATGGCAGGATGAGGGAGTCACCTAGTAGACGGCTGGTCAACACGGTTCTTGAGGATTCAGTGTGCAACCGTGCTTATCCAATCCTCCCACCCCTGCCCCTACTAAGGTTGTTTGGGGGAAAAGAGGACGACCACCTTTTTTTTTTGGAGACAGGGTTTCACCTGTCAACCAGGCTGAAGAGCAGTGGCTCCATCATAGCCTCCCAACTCCTGGGCTCAAGTGATCCTCCTGCCTCAGCCTCCAGAGTGGCTGGGACTACAGGCCTGCACCACACCCATCTGATTTTTTTTTGAGAAGTTGACTTTGTACCCAGGTTGATGAACTCCAAACCCACATTCCTTTCACAAGTCTCCCGCACTCTTAGCCATGTAAAATAACTTACGCTGCCACTCCAGGGTGCAAGCCACCCACCTACCAAGAGGCGAAAGGTGAATTAAAAACTCAAGTGTTGGTGGGAAGCGGAAGGAAAGGGTCCAGGTAGCTTTGAAGGTAGCATTCAGGTAGGTCTCCGGGGATGCACTCCAGGCACAAGGACCGCCAAGGTCAAGGCAGGTAAGAGGCTAAGCACACAACGGTTCTCCCATGCGCCCCAAGATGCACGGAGTGGGCATCTAAGCGGTCAGCTCCTTAAGCCAACTTTGAAATCCTCCGACGATCCCGATGCACACGTGCTCCCCACCCACGAGGGCTGTGATCCGGTCGCCTCACTTACATCTTAGAGAGCTTGGAGGCCGCACCACCTGTCACTTTGGCGACGCGCAGCTGGGACAGTTCCACCTTCAGGTCGTCCAGCTGTTTCAGCAGCTCCTCCTTCTTCTTCCCGCGAAGATCTCGAGCCTTGATCTTGGCCTGCGCGCAAGAGAGCGTGTGGCTCAGCCAGGCCGCGGGGCCGTATCCCCTTCACCTGCGTGGCCAGCCCCAAAGGTGCGCGATTCGCCATCGACTACGAGTGCGCCGGAGCCCCACCCAGGACTCACGACAGTCTCCCTCAACGGCCGTGCTCGGCTACAGTAACCCAGGCCCCGGCAGCGCGCCTCTCCCGGCAGAGAAGCG